TGACAAATTGTCTTCAGCTTGACCTGTACAGTCCGACAGTGCAGATCAGTCAGCCAAGTAATTTTACGAGCACATGAATCGAAAATTGAAACTTTTTGATTCCAATTAAAATCTTTGTCAAAGTCATTGTCGGTAAATTCACCTTTAGTCAGATTCAGCTTCAATTAATACCGTGTTTCATCCATGCACGATGAAAAAAGTTTTGGCATTATTTGAAATTGGTTTACAGGGTGAGACCCAGCATTTGCAACTCTGCTCCCGTTTTAGTTGATGACAGGAATTGAAGACAGTTTGAAATTGCACGTTTTGGTTCAATCCAAACCCAAATTGTAGCATCCAGAAGCACTGCTTCACTTCTCAGACACTTTCGATCTCTCTGATCACATGGGTGGTAAAGAAGGCCGTCCACGTGCCACTCCGCCAAAGGGCACGGGGAAAGCTCCAGGCAAGCCTAAGGGAAGTTCTTCAATGCCGCCTCCAGCAGTTTCAGCTGCTCCACACTTGAAAGGGAAAATCAAGGGAAACGCGCCTAGGAAAGGAAAAGGCAAGGCCGTGTCTGACCCTCCTTCTTTGGCAGCAGCATCAAGGAAGGCACCTCCAGTACCAAAGCATGCGCCTGTGGCTCCCCGTGCGACTGTGGCTGCGAAGCCGCCTCCTGTACCAAAGCAGCATGTGCGTGTGGCTCCCGCTGCGAAGCCGCCTGCTACCAGACCAGCATCTCCAAAGCGTGGCAATGTCAAGGGCAAAGGTGGTGTCATCAAAGGACATCTCAAAGGCAAAGGTTCCGGGAATGCGAAAGCGAATGCCACGAAAGGCAAAGGGGAAGCCGCAGATACCAACACCACTGCGTCGGGAACTCAGATGGCAAGATGAGCTGGCGGCCACACGAATACTAAAAACTAGTTCACCCCCGTTGAATTTTTGTTTTTTTAATTAAGATTTTTAATTTAGTATTAGGGGGTACCTTCGAAATCCAATTCTTGGCAATATTTTAATTACCTTATATAAAGAAATTGAATCGATTTTGAGATCGGAAAAAATAGTTTTTATTATTATTATTAAGGGTTTTAATTTTATATTAGGGGAAAGCTTCAAAATCTAATTTTTGTGTTTTTTTGCGTTATATAAAGAAATTTAATGGTTTTGAGATCGGAAAAATATTATTATTATTATTTATTATTATTATACTTATTATTATTAATATTAATGGTCTTAAGTTAATATCAGGGAGAAGCTGAGAAATCTAATTGTTGGCAATATTTTAATTGCGTTATATAAAGAAATTTAATTGATTTTCAGATCGGAAAAAATAATTTTTAAATTAAGGGTTTAATTTTATAGTAGTGTTCCCTGATCATAAATATAACCCTAATACTAAAAACTACCTGCCGTGTTCAGTAATAGGGGTGGGGGCGTTTAGTATTAGGAGGAAGGGAACCTTCTAGCTTGATGAGAAAATGTGTTCTTCAGGCTTCGCCGTGGACGTTCTGAATGTGAAGAACGAGAGGTCAGCTGCGCAGTTGGATATAGAAAATAACTAATTAGTGTTTCGTTCCATGCTTTTTGATGCTCAAACAATGCACAGTCGGGACTCACTGATTCAATTTCAAATTGTACGGGCAATCCGCTGACTTTGCCACCGGGAACTAATTTCAGCCTAGCCGGATGGATTTCATTACCCGAAACCAATTTTGATTTACATATATATAGCAATACAATAGATATTTTAAATCACATATATATTTAGACTATTTCAGCCGAATTGCCAGGATGACGAGATGCGGTCTGACAGGAGCCGAGGAGCAAAGCAAACGCGGCGGTACTCATCGTCCTATCTGAAGGTGAGGGAACTTCCAGTGCCATTGCTGCAAAACAATGTTGGGGATGTTAGGCTGAGTTCCCAATGTCCCAAGTTATTGTGTAAATAGTTGATAGAAAAATATTTTAAAATTTTCGGCTTCTCAGTGAGGAACCGCCTGCAATCCAATTTTTGTACATTCCGGAGTATCAAATGTGAAGAAACGATTCTGATTTGCAACAAAGTTGCATTTATGATCTATATCAATATCTCCAAAAAATATTCATGCATCTCTTGCTTTTCCACAATTTTTCCAGAGTCTTCCCACGGCCTTTTCAAGGCACACCACCTGTGTGAGTGGCTTCGGGAGATCGCACCGGGGTTCTTCACTCACATTCATATCCGCCGTCTCCAAGCTGACAAACAGCTGCTCCTAAGCTACATCTACCTCCTGACGGGGGTTGCTGAAGGAGAACGACTCCCAGAGCTTCTCGACAGAGTTTATGATTGGCACCATCGGATACATAGAATCACGAATTCCAAAAAATTGCAAGATATTTCGAGAATTTCAAAGAATTTCAACAATAAGATTTCTTGATAGAATTGCATGAAATTCTCGGAATTCTGTGTAACCTAATAAACATATCGGATTTAATTTAATTAATTTACAATTCTAATCGAATTTGACGGAATTTTTAACAATGGTACTGGTACTTAATGGTATTTCATGGAATTCACTGCTTGAGCTGTGGCTACTGAACCGCAATTACCATGATAAATTCCACACGAGTGCGCAAAGTTCCGTCGACTTTATACAATTCCAAAATATTTCCTTTCAGAATTGTATATAGAATCTTGTAGAACTCCAAACTCCGATAAAAAAATCCATATTATTTCATCGGCTTCGCAGAATCCCATTCCAAGAATTTCACGTGATTCCGTACATTTTTTGGATTGAATTCCGTCATTGAATTCATTGGAATTCCACAAATAGGATTGCATTGACTTCCTAGAATTTATAAAATAAAATCATTGATTCATTATGCTTCCTAGAGATTTGAGGAAGTCCACGCAATTTCATAGAATTTTCAGAATTTCATTCAGAATTCGAATTGCAAAAAAATCAGCCTTCCAGGTACGATGTGGAACTCTGTTTGGATGCGATCAGAGCCGAATACAGTCGGCTTGGACAACCCATCGGCAAGTACAGTGCGCTGACTCCCGGACAAATCATCGCTGCAGCAGCACAGCAAGCGCAGGAATGGACTGTATCTCCGGCGACTGGGCCTGCTCCTCATCCCCAGGCTACACCGGCCAAGGCTACAGCGGCCAAGTCGAAAGCGGCAGCCAAAGTCAAAGGCAAAGGCAAGACCGTGATTGCAGCGGCAGCCGAGGAGGAAAGGATGCAAAGTTCGGGTTGGTAATTTCGAATGGCACTAAACGATATAAAGCACTGCACAATTATATAGTTCCTGGATGCTCCTGGTATAAAATACACTGTTTTGGAATCCAAGCAATCAATACTCAAATGACAGTTTTCCTTGAGCACCAGGAGCCACCAGCACCATTGGTGACGTTCACTGTCAACTACGAGCACGAGTCATGGATTCTGAACGCTTGGCAGGACGGAACTTTGATGTCTTCCGCCAATTTGCCGGATTCAGAGCCTCTTGTCTTGCACGCCATGGGTTGGGATGCGCTCCGCAAGTGTTGAATTTTGAAAAATCAAAAGCTGAGAATATTTCAAAAAATCGGACAACTCATTTTTAATTTACATTCCCTTACAATTCCATCAATTACCTATTAGTTTCATTCATTCCCTATGAAAAATTCCTTAGAATTTCCCTATATTCTACAATCACTATTGATTCCATTGGTTAGAATTAGGATTTAGAATTAGGATTTAGAATTAGGATTTAGAATAGAATTAGGATTTAGAATTAGGATTTAGCATTAGGATTTAGAATTAGGATTTAGGATTTAGAATTAGGATTTAGGATTTAGAATTAGGATTTAGAATTAGGATTTAGAATTAGGATTTAGCATTAGGATTTAGCATTAGGATTTAGCATTAGGATTTAGCATTAGAATTTAGCATTAGGATTTAGAATTAGGATTTAGAATTAGGATTTAGAATTAGGATTTAGAATTAGGATTTAGCATTAGGATTTAGCATTAGGATTTAGCATTAGGATTTAGAATTAGGGATTTAGGATTAGGATTTAGAATTAGGAATTTAGAATTGGGGATTTAGAATTGGGGATTAGAATTAGGGATTAGGATTTAGAATTAGGGATTTAGAATTAGGGACTTAGAATTAGGGATTTAGAATTAGGGATTTAGAATTAGGGACTTAGAATTAGGGATTTAGAATTAGGGATTTAGAATTGGGGATTTAGAATTAGGGATTTAGAATTGGGGATTAGAATTAGGGATTTAGAATTGGGGATTTAGAATTGGGGATCAGAATTAGGGATTAGGATTAGGGATTAGAATTAGGGATTAGGATTAGGGATTGGAATTAGGGATTAGAACTAGGGATTAGAATTAGGGATTAGGATTAGGGATTAGGATTAGGGATTAGGATTAGGGATTAGGGATTAGGATTAGGGATTAGGGATTAGGATTAGGGATTAGGATTAGGGATTGGGGATTAGGGCTTAGGATTAGGATTAGGGATTAGGATTAGGGATTAGGATTAGGATTAGGGATTAGGATTAGGGATTAGGGATTAGGATTAGGGATTAGGGATTAGGATTAGGGATTAGGGATTAGGAATAGGGATTAGGATTAGGGATTAGGGATTAGGATTAGGATTAGGGATTAGGATTAGGGATTAGGATTAGGGATTAAAATTAGGGATTAGGATTAGGGATTAGGATTAGGGATTAGAATTAGGGATTAGAACTATCCCTACTAATGCCATTCATTCCTTATCAAAAATCATTCATTTTCCGTATATACAATCTATATTCACCATTAATTTCATTGATTCTAATAATTCAATCAGTTCCCTATTAATTCCATTCATTCCCTATGAGAATTCCAGGAGTTTCCGTACAATGTACATTCCCTATGAATTGCATTCATTTCTATGACAATTCCATGGATGTCCTTGTAAACTACATGGCGTATGAATTCCATTAATTCCATATCAGTTCCCTATGAAAATTCCCTGAATTACAGTTTGACGCATTAAGAATTACCAGCTATTTTGCCAAACTTCGTTCAGACCTCCCACAGCAATCTTCACCGTGCCTAAGGTGTCCTTGTGGTTGCTGGTCCTCCGAATCCACTCGAACGCTACGTCATCGGGCGCGCAGGACGCGATAGACACGGAGGGGTCGAACCTCACCGGTCACCGCGGTACCCGTCCAAACCAGAATAGTTGGTGTTTTAATACGTACTATATGGGAAATGATATCTGGATGTTCATATCTGGTATAACATCTGGATGCGCATCTCTCACATGGTATACGTAAATTTTGGTGTTGATCCATTCGCAATATATAGGATTATATGACATTATAATGATATGGCTTCAACAGTAATTAAAGGATAAACAAATAGGGGCCCACAGAGCTTGCTTCTGATGTTTGGACGCATTTTTCAGCCAATCGCTTTGGTGAAACGTGAGTCCGACACATCCACAGAATCTACGTAAGTTCAGGTGCTTCATGAGATCATCGTGTCTAAACTGAAAGTTTCACTCATGTGGCTTAAGGTCAGTTCCCCTATTCCCCAATGTATTCCTATGAAACACCTTACCTCATGACATTCCCATGATATTCCATTGATATTCCATTGATATTCCCATGATATTCCATTGATATTCCATTGATATTCCGCTGATATTCCCATGATATTCCATTGATATTCCATTGATATTCCATTGATGTTCCATTGATATTCCATTGATATTCCATTGATATTCCCATGATATTCCATTGATATTCCATTGATATTCCATGGATGTTCCATTGATATTCCATTGATATTCCGTTGATATTCCCATGATATTCCATTGATATTCCCATGATATTCCATTGATGTTCCATTGATATTCCATTGATGTTCCATTGATATTCCATTGATATTCCATTGATATTCCCATGATATTCCATTGATATTCCATTGATATTCCATTGATGTTCCATTGATATTCCATTGATATTCCATTGATATTCCATTGATATTCCCATGATATTCCATTGATATTCCATTGATATTCCATTGATATTCCATTGATATTTGATATTCCATTGATATTCCATTGATATTCCATTGATTCCCATTGATATTCCCCATTGATCCATTGATATTCCATTGATATTCCCATGATATTTGATATTCCATTATTCCATGATATTCCATTGATTCCATTGATATTCCATTGATATTCCCATGATTCCATTGATATTCCATTGATATTCCATTGATTTATTGATGTTCCCTGATATTCCATGAATTCCATTGATATTCCATTGATGTTCCATTGATATTCCATTGATATTCCATTGATATTCCATTGATATTCCCATGATATTCCATTGATATTCCATTGATATTCCATTGATGTTCCATTGATATTCCATTGATATTCCATTGATATTCCATTGATATTCCCATGATATTCCATTGATATTCCATTGATATTCCATTGATGTTCCATTGATATTCCATTGATATTCCATTGATATTCCGCTGATATTCCCATGATATTCCATTGATATTCCATTGATATTCCATGGATGTTCCATTGGTATTCCCATGATATTCCATTGATATTCCCATGATATTCCATTGATATTCCATTGATATTCCATTGATGTTCCATTGATATTCCATTGATATTCCATTGATATATTTCCATTGATATTGATATTCCCATGATATTCCATTGATATTCCATTGATATTCCATGGATGTTCCATTGATATTCCAGTGATATTCCCATGATATTCCATTGATATTCCATTGATATTCCATTGATGTTCCATTGATATTCCATTGATATTCCATTGATATTCCATGGATGTTCCATTGATATTCCATTGATATTCCATTGATATTCCATTGATATTCCATTGATATTCCATTGATATTCCCATGATATTCCATTGATATTCCATTGATATTCCATTGATATTCCCATGATATTCCATTGATATTCCATTGATATTCCATTGATGTTCCATTGATATTCCATTGCCATTGATATTCCATTGATATTCCATTGATATTCCATTGATGTTCCATTGATATTCCATTGATATTCCATTGATATTCCCATTTATTCGCAGGGCTTCACTTTTTGACGCTGCAAATTCTTCAAAGACCAACCGAGTCGCCCGAGGCAGATTGCGGCAGAGCCTGCCAGGTGTCAGGGTGGATTTCTGCATCAGAAATGGTTGGGTCATGGCTCATCTTACCCCCAAATGGAGGTTTCCTAAGTCATGGGGGTAGCCCGACTTATCATCCATTTGATTTTCGGATTTCCAAGGATTTTCAAGGAAATCAACGATCCAGCTATTGGAAACCCCCAATGATTATCTGGTTGGTGGTATACCTACCCCTCTGAAAAATATATGAAGTCAGTTGGGATTATTATTCCCAACTGAATGGAAACATAAAACATGTTCCAAAGCACCAACCAGTAATGGTGATTTAGCCGGGAACAAATGGGAATGTCATGGGATAGAACAAGGCAACAAATAGGGGGACGATAAAATGTGATTTAAGCAACACACCTGTGGATTTCGCCAGCATTTGAGATTTAACAAGATCTAACCAACAAAGAGCTCGAGTCTTCGGTTGCTGTGGGGTTTGACTTCCCCAAGCTTTCACGAAATGAAAACCACTTACCCTCATGAAACAAACATGGCTGGTGGCTGGAAACTGGCTTTGTGGCTCATCTTCAAAACTCCAGGGGATCCAGTTAAAAAACTGCGATATGTTGCCGAAAAAAAACACACCATTGGAGTCTGCGGGGTGTGAACCTATACTATCAACTAGTACGCCTCAGCCATCGCAACTTCATTCTGGATATTTTACGATAAATGAACCCAAACAAGAGTTCGGGCTCATTTTGCTCCCAAACAGAACCATCACATTTACCCCATTTGCCCTCCAGCCAACTAGCCTTGAGGTGGAAGAAAGTTTCATTTGATTTGCCACTTTGATGTTACCCTCTGCTAAACGTTTACATAACTTTACATAGCTATGGAAAATCACGACATTTTTAATGGGTAGTTTTCCACTTTAAATTGCCATTTTCAATAGCTATGTTGTTAGTTTACCAGAGGCTAAATCCCATTGATCATCCCATTATTCACCATTGTTAACCCATTGTAAAACCATTACTCTTTGGAAAACAAACATAGACCCTGTATGCATGATACCTACCTTTAAACGTAGACCCTGTAGGTCATACCTGCTGGTCTGGGGTCTATCTTATCTTGTAAAAACATTAAAAAAAACAAGCTGCAAGTCCAAAAATGTGGATCACATAGGCCCTGGGGACACAATGAACAACAATGGAAAACTGGCATAACCTAGACCCCACACGTTGCAATCTGATTTCACCATGTTTTACCCCACTAACTTGGGTTTTTACAAAACTCATCTTACTCCTGCAGTAGCATTGCAAGTAGGGATAACACAGACCCTGGAATGGTATAAGGATTTATTTGAGAGGCTTATTACTCCCAGTCCAAGAAATTCCCAACACACCATTTCAGGGTCTATGTTTTCTTGTTAAGAAAAATGGGTGCCTACAAACCCAACAATGGGGATCACATAGACCCTGGGGATACAATGGGCAACAATGGACAACTGGCATAACATAGACCCCACCTTTCCGCCGACCCCGCTAACATGGTTTTTTCCAAAAGCCATCAGTCAGTGCAGTAGCATTGCAAGTAGGGATAACATATATCCTGAAATGGTATAAGGATCTATTTGAGTTGCTCGTCCAAGAAATGATCCATCTTGCCAAAACAGCATGTCGGCGCCTATGTTTTTTAGTTGGGATATATCTTTGAGAATGGCTTCCTGAAAGTCCAACAACGGGGATCACACAGACCCTGGGGATACAATGGACAAAATGAAAAACTGACAAAACATAGACACTACAAAATTGCATTCTTGCTTTACCCCACTAACACGGACCCTGTCAAGAATCATTTTATTTGAATGGAATTCGTTCCAGATATGGATCTCATAGACCCTGAAATCGTTTAAGAATCTTGGATGGGTTTATTATTGCTAGTCCAATATTCAGTCAAGTCAAAAAAAGTTTCCTGATTACTTATTAGGCAGCGAGGAAACGCACGAACCAAGGGGCACCCTGCTGTTTTCCTTGGGCAATTGAAGCCTCCAGAGAGTAAAGTGAAATGCAATGCTGAACATGTATGCAAATCTGTATGGCATGGGGATGTGCCTATTGCAGGCATGTCTATCACCCTGCCTTTTGTAAAATTGAGCCGGGATTTTACCGCAGCTCCAATTGAAACAAACCTTAGACATGACCGTCCGCTTCGTCCTCCATCGGCGGGTCCTTGAGGTCCATGCTGTAGTTTCCTTTGCCACCACATTTGCCTTTGGCTTTCGGGATGGTCGGGGTAGACGCTGATCCGGCAGCTCCACTAGTTTCTGGCGCTGCTTCTTCAGTCACTACCGGTGGTGGGCCATCATCGCGAGTGCCACCACCTTCATCCCTTCTTTCTTCTCTTTCATCTCTTTCATCTCCACTTCCATCGGTAATCCCCACAGGGCCTTCACTCGGAGACCAATCACTTTCGTCGTTGGGGCCAGCACTTGGTTGGGCAGTTGTTGGTTCACCCCAACCATAGTGTGCTGCCAGCCACTCATCCACCATCTCTGTCTCCTCCAAGAGCTCCCCTGGGGGTACTCGTCCTTGTTCATACCAAAAGATGTAGCGCTTGCGGGCCAAGAGAAAACGAATGGCCCTCTTTCTCACTTCTATGCCTCCCAGCTGCACTGCCTTGTGGATGTTGAAGAACTCCTGAATTCCGGTCCACACATCTCGGGTCACTGGAAGGCTGCGCAAGAAAGCAAGCTTCTTGATGATATAGTCCTCGATTCCACGACCTTCAGCAAGAAGTAGGAAACGATAGTCATCGTACTCCCTGCTGTCCAAGTTCTCGAAGACACTGAAGTCCTCGTCGATGCCAACCAACGATCCATAGTCGGTATCGACGTCGTCCTCCTCTTCTTCCTGCTCCATGTCATTCTGACTCACATAGCCATCATCGCCTCCACCAAGGTTTGCACCAGACATAGAGATGCTGTCAAAGTCGCAGTCGAAGTCGAAGTCGTTCTCCACCATCGAACTTGCTGCAGGCGCCAAAGCTGAACCAGCCGCCCCTGCAGAACCACTTGCAGGTTCAACTTCAACCTCCACTTCTTCCATTTCTGATTCCATCTCTTCTTCTGAGCCGTTGTAGAACTCCTCCTTGGTCATGCGACGTATGTGAGCTACCCGTCCATTGACATGTGGGTCTTCTCCATCACTGCCTCCACCTTGATCTGGTACATCTGAATCCTCCTCGTCGTCAGTCTCCAACCACACTCCAAGCCTTTGTTGCTCTTCGTTTCGAATCCTCACACGATCTCGCCTTTGTCGAAGTTGTTGTCTCACCCAGTCCATTGCCTCCCGGGTTGCTTCGATCCTCAGGTGCATGACATGCATGATCTTGATAAGCACAATGATCGTCACCACCAAGATGAAGACCAGGGTCACCAACATAGTTGTTGTCCATGGCAAACTGGATGATGTAGTGTCCATAGCCACCAAGCATTGAGCACTGCTTTGATGTGGAAGGCTCAAGGCTTCACCACCACTAAGAAGTAAGGCGCCAAGCGTCAGTCGCATGAGACGCTTTGCAACTTGGTTCACCAGGGTGCTGTTTTCTCTGGTCGGTGTGTCCAGCACCTCCGCATGAACGATTTTCCTCACCGCCTTGATCTTCTCCCGCGCGTCCTTCTTGTACTTCTCCTCCTCAAACTCAGCCACACCAAGATCTCCCCAATCGTTTTGGAAACCACAAAGATGTAGTAACATCCTCACTCTCCTTCCAGCCAAAACTTTTGTTCCCATGTCGGCCACGTTGGTCACGGTGTCGATGCGCCGTAGTTGAAGTTCACCTCGTTGTTGCCTTTGCTGAATCCAAAGCAATCGTCCTGAAACATGCTTCAGTCTGCAGACTCCATCTCGAGCTGCAATTGCAATTGATGCTGTGTTGTCTCCCAGCACCTTCAGCTCCACCTTGCCGTCCACCAAGTGTTCCACCACTGCTTTGAGCAACAGGCCCTCCGACGCACCACCAACCAACGCTACAAATTCAGCTTCAGAAGAACTGAGAGTGATGTTCTTCTGGGTTCTGGAATATGAGTCGATCCAGATACCTCCAAGGTACATGCTTCCACAACTGGTAGATGATCTTGTCTCCTTGTGGCCGCTCCAGTCGCTGTCTGTTGCAACCTCGATCAACCAAATGCCATCCTTCTCCACGTAGGTAGGGGCTGTCGTCAACCCTTCAGCTCGATACCTGAAACTCCGACCAGGATCTGTCCCTGTCATCTCCACATGAATGTCCTTGGTCGTCACCATGTAGCCAATCAGGTTGAGCAAACTGCTCATTGAGCCACGAGTTGGAACTTGAAGTTTTGCCGCCAACTCTTTGATGAAGAATTGAGTGTCTGGCCTGTCCCCAGACACATACAACAGCGTCCCCACTGCGCTCCTGTACTTCTGGATGTCGATGTCGTTGGTTAAGGGCTCGTTGTCGATGATGATGTCACCTGGTGTTTTGCGTCTTTTGACACCTGGAAACAAATTCACCAAGCCCTCGATGTACTTCTCGTTCACCTTGACCTTTGTGACACCGTCCACAACCTCTATACTTCTTTTCAAGAAACTCAGCTGTGCACCGCTCTCCACCTTCAGTTGGAACTTCTTCTTGAGAAAAGCCTCGACCTTCTCTAGCTCCTCATCTTCACCTGTCATGACCATGTCGTCCACGTGGATCATCAGAGCTAAGGTCTTCTCTCGATTTGTCCAAACTGTTGGAGCTTCAGCACATTGAAGTAGGCCACCATCCTTGAGTGTAGCCTTCAAGGTGTTGAACCACACAGCTGCTCCTTCACGTTGTCCTGGTAGAACTTTTCCAAGCATCCATTCACGTGCCACACCAAGTCGACTTGCCAAGTCTGCTCCAAGAACCACCTTGACGTTCTTTGGCTGCTCGCAGTTGAGGTATGCGTCCTTCACGTCAGCCACCATCATTTTCCATTGTTTCAGCTGACTCAGAGCAGGCACCAAACGCATTGTTGATTGGGTGCCCGTTGGAGCAAAAGTGTCACTCCTGTTGGGATCCAGCCAGTTGAAATCTCTTGCAACTAGCCTTGCTCTCCTCTGCCAAGTCCCTTCACGTACTCGCCAGTCACAAACCAGTCGTGTTGTCAAGGTAGGGGTGCTTGACAGATCTTCACCAGCTCGAGGGGCTCGTAGAACTCCCATGTCGATGAGGCGCTTGATCTCCAGCTCTGCTGCTTGATTCTCAACCTCAGTCAACTCATCTGGAGAAAGATCTGGTGGGCGATCAGGGAATTCCATATCCATGTCACCATCCTCCAAAAGCTCACCGGCCACGACGACTCTCACCTGTGGGTCACCAGCTGGTTGAGCTTCTCCACCAGCTCCAGATGTTGGACTTGCACTCAAAGTCGATGCTGGTTGTTCCCTTCCTTCTGAAAACCTCATAGCTTTCTTTGGCATCACCCTTGCGGCTTTGCTTGGACTCTGCTCTTCTTCCCCAAACGCTTCACCACCACGCTTGGGAGATGTCTCAACATCATCAGCATAGTTCTTGTCCTTCTTCACCTCCACAACCAAGTCCTCCAAAAGGGTGTCGTCATCGATCTCCTTTGCCGAACTCATACTCAAGAAACTTGGGCTTGCTGACAAAGATTTTGATGTTGGGTCAGAAGCTGCCTCGTCTGGCCCTGCCTGTCCTTGATCTCCATCTTCAATTGCTTGTTGGCCTCCACCTGACTGCTGTGCCTGTCGTGCTTGTCGTCGATCTTGCCGTTCTTGAAGTCGAAGAGGTACAGAAAGATCAGGTGGTAGAGCCACGTTCTCATTCTTGGTGATCAAGGGGGTTGCCTTTGTCCCAATCTGGCCAAAAGCAACACTCCAAGGCCAGGTCCTCACATTGTTGAGTACGGCTGCTTCGAAAGCTACAGGCATACGCCTTACAGTGCGTGTCCACCGTAGGCCGTCACTTGTTGCCACCACATGGAAATCTGCCCTGTCAGTTTTCCCCAGCCAGACTGCTGGTCTGAACTTGTCATCTCCATTGCCACCAGGTAGTCGAGCTAGAACTCGTTCTCCAAAGATGGCAAGTTTTCCTTGAAATTTCCTGCCAGTCACCATCTCGTAGGCTGTGGGGCTCCCATTGTGACGCCTGAAATGGCTAATGAGCCAACCTGCATGCCGAAGTGCCCATTGGAATATGGGTCCCATCACGTTGATCTGTATGCCAGCTCCTTCTCGAAGTCGATTCACCAACGTCCTTGCAAGACCTCTCACCGTTTGGATCTCTCGTTCAATCCTTCCATTGGCTTGGCTGTCACCTGGGCCACTGTACTCCACCAGCGTTTTGAAACCAAGACGTTGCCGGCATTTCTGCACCACGTCCAGCAACATTCTCATTGCAGGCTCACCGTCGGCCTTCACCGTGCATGTAGAGAAACCGCATGACCCAATGTAGCGCACCACCTGCTCAGCCAAGTACTTCACGTGGGATCTTCCCTTTCCAGGAGTTGGGACTGCAAGAACTCCATGGGTCCAATCATCAGTGATGACCAGGCAAACTCCTCCACGTGCATCACCTCCATAACGTCTCAGATCTTCTTTGTCTTCCTCATTGGCCTCCACCAAGCTTCGAGTGAAGCAGAAGTCCATGGAGACAATTGGGTACTCAGACTTTGTCTCATCTCGCAGAGCTCCTTGGCGACGATGTGGGTCAGACTTTGCTCTCGAAGCCACACAGCTCTGACACCAGTCTGCGTAGGGCCAATGTGTCAGCTCATGGATCTGTCTCTCAGCTTTTGTTGGAAGCCTGGGCACATGTTGTGGTCGAGCATCATCTCCACTTCTCCAGCTCTTTGTCGCTCAAACTCACGCTGTGCCAACTCCACTGCCAGGTTCTCGGCAAAATGCCTGTGATGTTCCACCAAGCGCTTCCACGCATCAGCTTTGCTCTTGCCCTTAGGCAATCCACACATCTTCAAACCAATCCTCATCTTCGAAAGGGTTGTTGTTGGAGTGTACTTCACACCCTCAATCTCGATCTCCTCAGGCTCATCATCCTCTGCATGCTTTGGAACTTCTCGATGAACAGGATCACCTTCACCTGTGTCATGTTGTGGGCCAACTTCCACGTCAGAGTCCTCCACTTCGTAGACTCCATCTTCCAAAGACCTGCCATACCATCCAAAGCCCTGCCTCTCTTTGACGTCCTCACCTTTGGGTGCATCCTCTCTCACCTTGGGTTGCAAGAACGGATCGTCGGCACCAGTGTTCACGATGCCAACTGCCATCACGTCAACATGCTGTTGGTGGAAAAATGACACCACTGTTGTTGTGTCACCATTGCACTCCTCGATCTCATCCTCATGGCTGGACTGTTCAGCCCATTCCACAACTTCCCAAACCTTGTCCTTGAGCACCATGGTTGTTCGAAAAGGAAAGTCTGTGCGCTGGAACTGTGGGAAGGAGTCATGATAATTCTTTGAATTCATGACCACCAGAAAAGGAACCTTCCTATCCAAAGACAGATGCCATCCAGGAACTGTGAGTAGGTTCACCATCATATCTTCAAAGGTCATGGTCACAGCTCGAACTGCTGCTTGAGGCACCTCCACCATTCGAATTGTTGCCACCGTTGACAAACTGTTGCTCCTGAACCCAATGGTCTTGGAGAAGTCTCCATAGGCCAACTTGACGTCATTGCCATCACCTTCAACTTTCCAACCTCTCTTCAAGAGCTTTCCCAGGGCCACCAAAGGTTCAGATACCTTTGACAAAGCAAATGTCTCCTTCAACTGTGCCACATTGCCATTGTCGTCCTCGATCTCGATGACAGCCTGGCGCAAGGAACCACCAGGCATGAGATGTCCTTGAGCATCCCGTAGAACACTGCGCTGACGTAGAGCTTTCCCTGTTGTGCCATAGCTCATAGGAAGCACCGACATATCTGCACCGCTGTCAAGGATGATGTGGACTTCCTTGGACAGCTGGACTCCTCTGATTTCTGCATGGGGCCTTGAACCTCCATCCACCTTGCCATAGGGCTCCACAGAAGCGTTGGTAAAGTCCTCGAAGTAGACCTCACCACCATGTTGAACTTCCTCACAAAGGTGCCAATCGCTGTCAGAGTCACTATACGTCATGTCATAGGTCTCCTCTGCAGCTACCGTTCTGATGTAGGGCTCATCCACCGTGGCCGTCTCATCCAAGTCGAAGTAGGTCACTCTTCGAACTGCTGTGGTGCCAGGGCCTTGAACTCCTTGTGCACCACTTCCATGTTGTTGCGCTCCTGAGCCACTGCTGACCAAAGACTGCGTTGCCACTGTCGATGCAGCATCTTGACTCACCTGGCGCAAGTTCCTCACCGGGCACTCTCTAGACCAATGCCCTCGGCCACCACATAGTTTGCAGACATCAGACGGCAATCCCTTACCTTTGCCACGATTGTCTGCCCCTTTTCCATAGTTGCCATAGTCCTTTGACTTGCTTTTGTCCTTGCCCTTCACCTTTCCACTGTCTTTCCATTTTCCTTTGCCTTTAGCATCTTTGCCACCTTTGTGTTTTCCCTTCTGCTTGCCCTTCATCTTGCCCTTGACGCGATCCACGTCCATAGGCACTACCTCGTCGTGCTTCTCCTCCTTCTTGATGTCAAGCTCCCGGTACACAGTGCTCGACGTCCATGAAGTGGTTGTCCTTTCATAGGCCAACACCCGCTCCCTTGTCGAAGCATAGTCAGACTTGTCATCCATCTGCAACTGCAAGTGTTGACGCAGTTGAGAAGGTACCACCCTCAAGAGCACCGAGAGTTTTGTGTTGTCGCTCATCTCCTCCTTGCTAACCTGGGCATACTCTTCAGCTAAACGCTCAAGACCCAAGATCTGCTCCAGGATGCCCTCCTTCTTGAAAGGTGGGTGTCCAAGAAACGCTTGAAGTAGCGCTATCGATCTGGCACGGGTGCGGGGCTGCATCTGCATGGTGAGCTGCCGCCACACCTCCAATCCATTTCTTCCTTCAGCACTTCGAAGTATCTTCAAGGGTCGGTTGCGTAGGACTCCAACCAGTATTGAATGGAGTTTCTCTGCTCTCTCGTGCTGCTGCGGGGTCATCTCCACAAAGTCCATGGGCCCTTCTGAGCTTTCAGCCTCCTTGAAGTCTTTCTCGAATTCAGCCTGGGCATATGTCAGCCAGCTTTGGAAACTGAGTTTCCAGTCCTGCCATTGGCTCAACTCCTCCTCAGGAGTGGCAGGAGAGAAAACATCGGGCTGTCTCACCACCTTTGAGGCTTCAGAGAAACGGTCACGTTTCTCCTCACCAAACTTCAGCTTCAAGGCCTTGGCCACCTCTGCAATGGCCTCAGCACTGGCATTTGTAGAAGCCACCAGCTGCGCCACCGTCGTCTCGTCCATCAGCAGCTGCGCCCAATGCCCTTTCACAAGGGCTCCGCTACCATATTAGGCAGCGAGGAAACGCACGAACCAAGGGGCACCCTGCTGTTTTCCTTGGGCAATTGAAGCCTCCAGAGAGTAAAGTGAAATGCAATGCTGAACATGTATGCAAATCTGTATGGCATGGGGATGTGCCTATTGCAGGCATGTCTATCATTACTTGATACCTACGTTTAAACGTAGACCCCGGTGAGCAAATTTGCTGATCCAGGGTCTATCTTTTCTTGTAAAAACATGTAAAAAAAACCTGCAAGTCACCCTGCCTTTTAGCTCTATGTCCCAAGGTCTATCTTAGTGAGCCGAAGTGGTTTGTTTTTTTTGCTCTTGCAACAGTCGTTTTTGGAAAATAAACATAAGACATCGAAATTGATTTTCTCAGTTTCGAGGTCTATGTTTGTTTTCCTTAGTGTAAATCATCATTCAACAACCATCAAACAAGATAAACAAGGAGGTGTCACCTGGCGCGCCAGGCGCGCCGTGCGGCGTCACGTCTCAACAACGCGCCGCGCCAGGCGCCTTCGCCGGAGCGTAGCCTCTGCTGATCGTCCAGCTGCCAGCGTTGCGTGTTGCCACCGTGGCAACCGTAGAGCCCAGGGGGCCCCGAGCTCCTGGAGACGAGCCCAGGCGTAGCCCAGGCGTAGCCCAGGGGACCCGGAGATTTCCAGACTTCGAATTGGGAAAACACCAGAGATATCACGGGAGATTCAGGTTAGAAACTGACTTTCCTGTCTCAACTCCAATCTATGGATTCCATTGATATTGAATCGATTGGAGGAAGGGAACGTGATGATACAACATGAGAATAACCATAACAGGATAGTGACCAACGGGGTAAGCTTTCTTTTGGGCACATCAAATTGGCAACGGGGATATGGACCAACAAGATCCCGCCGAAGACTGGGTGGTTGTCCCTCTAAAAATGTAAACGTTAGGGACAAATGGCCACATTCAAGGGTTGAGAGTCATATCCATATAGGGGGAAGGACACTCAAATCGAGGTACCTCAGAAAAGGTATGCTGTGGAAAGGGTTGGCTTCAGCATTGGAATGTCGATGGGTTGAAAAACGGCTTTAAGATAGAGTGGGTACAGTACGGATCGTGATGATGTTTTGTTTTTCAACCTAAAAATGACACATCTTTTAAAACCGAAAATCGACCCCAGAAGCTGGAGTGCCCCAACGAAGCCTCTGCATGTTGTCAACGCAAAGATCTTTGTCTGGCCCACCTGGTTCCCACGCGGCTGGGGTGGCCACGTGAGCTCGTCCAACTTGGGTATCCCAAAATGGTGATTGGTAGTAGGGAAATTGATGATCACCCACGGGATTTTGTCCAAAAATTGCGGATACCCAAACTGGCCATGTTGGGCAAAATTATGATCAACCTATTTTCACACAAAGCCATGTCAGAATTCCAAGGACCACTCTGAGGGTTCCAGGATTCTGGAACAGCCACTGTTGAAGTCGCACGTCCTGTCGCATGCTGAACTTGAGCTGATGACTTTTGAGGTTGGGCGAAAATCTATGATACCCTCCTATAAACTAACATAGATGTGGAACACCCACCATTTGCGGATTATTTTCCTATAGGTAAACCATGGGTTTTCAATGTCTATAGTTTACCCCAAAGCCCCAGGGTACCATTTTTGGGGGGCTTGAACATCCATCTGCCAACTAGTTTGATGTGTACCAGGGTATCGGGGTTTCTATCCATAACCACGTGGGTAAGAGTTAACAAAACCTGGAATCCAATTGCTTTAACACAAATAACTAAGTTCTCATGAATGTGAACATCGTTCAGCTTCATATAACCATCCCATATAATAATATATACATATATATATCTCAAGTCTTCGACACATATGTAAAAAATCAAATGCACACCAAACCAGCAAGAACCAGCTCCTTGCAATGTGATTATGAAGATTACCATCCTTGATTGCCTGCTGTGTTATCAGTTCATCCCTGATATCAGATTGCAACATATTGTGACCGTGACCAGGATTTCCCCCCAATAATGGATGTCTCGAATTGGCAAAAACAAACTCACAAAGTGCTTCCAGTTTCGCTTGGATTGGGAAACGATGTGGATAGAACCATGCTCTGATGGGGATGCCTCACACAACTGAGCTCTGTTTACGTCCTTTTCGGGGGACCCAACCACTATTTCATCAACATTTCAGGGCATGTTAGACCTCAAAATAGGGAAATATACGGTCGGGATTTTCACACACGCAAAAATGGCAGTTTGTTTCCAACGTAAAACGCTTTCTTCCTGTTTGGCATGTTTGGCCACGCTTCCTGCGACACCACTAACACAACCGCCAAACAAAATAAACAACTACATCCCAAGAGCATTTTTCAGGATCAATTCTCCCATCCTTCCGAAATCGATGTTGGCCACCTTTTGGACCCCATTTTCCATAGCTTTTTTCAGCCAACAAAAACCATAGATCTGTGTCCCGGTGTCCACCTTGCAGTTCACCAGATCTAAGGCTTCACCGGAAGGACTCCTGAGCTACACAGAATCTGGGTCTGGTGATGGAAATTCGCAGACAGATGGACACACATTTTTCAAATCTGATGAATTTAAGCGCTTCGCAAATTGGAAGACTATGATCCGATTTCTCCGGGAATCTACCCATTGTTTGTCATTTGAGTGGCGGGGAAATCATGGAAATCCACTATGAACAGAGGATCTTCCATACAGAAAGCTCCATTTATACGGGAGTTTCTCTTGCCATGTTTGATTGCCAGAGGGTAACCATCAACAAAATGAGGGACAAGGCGCCGTCGACTTTTCGTTACAGCCACGATAAGTTTCCCCTACTGGAAGGGGCACCGAAGTTATAAGATCTTCTACGTTTGTTCAAGCACCCATCCAACTGTATATAAATATAGATACCCATATCACCAAATAAACCCTCGTTAGCCTAGTTTATAAACCCAACTTGCCTATTGTTCGGAGGCTTTCCCACAACTTGGACGTTGAACCAGTTCCCAGCGGTCATCTCCAATCGTCTCCTGGTTAAGCAAGAGCCTTTGCGATCCAGAGATCGAAGTTGCTTCCCTTCCATTTTCCATTTGGTGCCCTGTGAAAATCGATGCGGTGGTGGCCAGGGGATTGATCGAGAAAAAAGCCAGAGAAATTGCACAGGGAAAAGCTGCGCCTAGTGGCCAAACACAAGATACACTACTGATTCTCCAGCCACAATTTCAAAAGCAGGAGTGCCGTATTTGCTGGAACTTATGCTCCAAAATTGGAGGTATGGCCGCAATCAAATTCTCAACTATTTCCCCCAAACAAATGTCTGTGAAATCAAACTTGTTGAGGGATTTTCCTGCAATGAAAGCATAAGCACCTGTTTTCCACCCATCCACCTCGCCTTGTTGCACGGCACTTGGGCCATAATCTGTGTCCGCAAACAAACCTCATCATATTCAGGTTTCTGCTTCTTAAGTCATCGGGGATCCCCAAAACCACGAGCTACCAATACTAAGTCCTGGTCATCCATGACTTGGATGATTTGGGGGTACCCCCATGACTTAGGAAACCCCCAATCTTCTGATACCATCTTGCCATGGTCGACCTTGTGACATTTTCGGGGGTAAGTGAAGGAAACCATCCATGGCTGCTGACTTCCTTCAATATTTACTGTAATTGATCCCTGTCATCAATCACAAGGAACCCAGGAAGAAACATGGTTTTATCATGTTTCATCCGAATGTTTCATCCGAAACTCGGCAGCCCCGAAAAATCCGATAATCGACATGGGGAAACCATCCATGTTTTTTCCCTCTGGAATTGGAACATTCCATGTTCACAAAAAAACATTTTTTTGCTTCAAAGATTTCGCTTCTGAGATGCCCAGCCAAATGATGGTTCACGTGCGGACTGATCTGGATGTAATTCCTCTCCCGCCATCAGGATCGCTGGGTGGGGTGGTTGAGCCAACATCGGGATATCTGAAACAGGTCCCAGGTCATGTTGACTTGCCGAACTTTGCCAAAAGGCCTGGTTTAAAGCGGCGAACACCCATTTCTTGGTGGTTTTGAGCGCAAGTGGTCACAGTTCAGACATGTTCAGACCATGGGTCAAATTCTGGGGATGTCTTTGGAAGTCCAGGGATTGTATGCAGTTCAGTCAAGACATTTCCATGAAATTGCCACAAGCTCCCCCACCCCATTGCCATCTTCCACGGAAAATCCGGCGCTTCTTCTGGTGGACAAAGAACTTTATTCTCAAGTCTGAAAAGTCCTGAAAGATTTAACATGCCACAATATGTTTTTTGTTCGGGATCGTTCGCGTGCAAAAAGCATGACCCATCTCAAATACCAACAAAAAGATAGCTGGATAGCATATCCCCTGCAGGTAAACGTTTACAGTTTGCGAACTGGAACATCACCGTATGTGTTTTTCGCACAACTCATCGCAAGGGGTCATCAACTATAATTAAATGGGCCAAAAAAATAGCCATTTGTTCAATAGCCCAGGATATCCCAATCTCGGCAAAAGACGAAGGCGACATTAAGCATCATGACCAGCTACCCATCCAAGGTTGATGGACCTTCAGGCATCAGAGTTTCGTGGCGCCAGAGCCCAGTGGTCAGCCAGTTACTCACCATGTTTAGAAATATCACTTGCTACATAAGGGGATGCTCATTCATGTCTAGAGGTTGTATCATTGTACGCCAATTTTATCTTGGTTCAAATACCAAACCTCGAATGAGTTCGGGGAAACCCCATTGCTGTGCTTGATTACCCATCGTATTCCAACTAATGTGGGAAAAACAATGCCATAAATATATAAATGCCGTAAACCACCCATGACTGGGAATGGGAAACATACCACCTATAAGAATGGTGATGACTGGGGGATGGTTCATTGTTTTACCAATATTAATGGTTATTAATGGTGGTTCATGATATAGTTCATGGTGGTTAATGATGGTTAATGATGATTCATTTAATGGTGGTGAATGGTTACGAATGGTTGTTAGCCTCTGGTAAATTAACAGTTCGGCCCTGAACATAGTCATCTTTTAGTGGAAACTCATCTGAACCAACCCCGATGACTGCCAGGGTCGAAGTGTTAATTTACTGGAGGGTTTAGGGTTTAGGGTTTATTCTTGTTTTACCCTGAAAAATCACAATTTTTGGCAAAATCTTGACATCTTGACCCATCCTCGAGGTCCATTCCACTTGCAGCTCCCCTGCGTTGGAATTGCAGGACTCAGCGAACGCTTCCCGAACGCTTCAGCCCATCCGACTCGACCCCGGATGAGCCATGCATGTAGCGATTCAACAGGGCCATTCAAGAGGATGCCGCATGCAATTTTTTGTGCCTGAAATATGCTTAGTTTTTGTGGCTAATATATAGATAATCCGATAATCCCCTCACTGCAAGATGTAAAATGATATCAAACTACACCAGGTCTGCGAGATCGCAGGCGTCTGAAAATGATGTTAGTCACCTCAAATGACCCCAACAAATATGGCCACTAAAACAGAAAAGCATGATTCACCATATTTACCTTAAATGATCCCAATTAACTTGGCCGCTAATTCACGGATCTAGTGCTACCCTATTTCACTTTTGGTGGTATCCTCGCCAAGTTCTTTGGGTTGCGACCACTTGGAGGGGCCCGTGTCTAGGGCGTCGACATCAAAGTGTACTGGACCTTGTGAATCGTGTCCACCTGTGCAGAAATTTCGGATTGAAGATACGGGTCTCAGAATGAACTCTGAAGGATTTACCCATCAAACAATGGGGATATGTGCTTCGTCCAAGGATGTTCCAGAAATCTCAGGCAGTTTAGGGTTGAAAGCATTGTAGTTTTACCCCTCAGTACAGGGTTAAAGCCGTGGTAAATCCTGTACCATCCTGTAATTTTCCCTTCAGTTCTGAAGTGCATGGCATGTTTCAACTTGATGCGGCTATCAACATGTCACAACATTGGACCGGCGAAACCACACATGAACTGGTCAAATTATGAACTGGCACAGCATTCCATTTTTCACGTCCCTAAAAATGCCATTGCCCAATTGCCCCAGGCTTCTCTAGATATCCTGGACATCCCATTCGTCTATGTTTCATTTGTCCGTTTACATCTAACAAGATCAACCATCTGAACTACCCTCTGGTGATTTAACATAGCTATTGAAAATGGCCCAGTCAAAATAGTGAGTTTTCCCATTGATAGCATGGTGATTTTCCATGGTTTTTTGTAAACGATGACCAGAGACTAATTTAGAATCCTTCCATCGAAACCCCAAAGCCACCTGTGATGCATTGCGAGGTGTGCACCGACAAGAACTTTCCAATCTCGGTGTCCTCATCTGGGATGTAGAGATCTCGACCTGTCCGGAATGGTGCAGATACGGCTTACCGAAAAGGAAAGAACAACAATTAAGTAGACATAGTGTTACTATGTCTTACTGTACTATATCATACTATATATATAGTATTATATATATGATACTATATATGATACTATATATGATACTAAATATGCAGATAGACATAGATTCTGTCCGGTCCAACTTTCCACAACGGAAACCGCCACTCGGAACACTAGGAGCCGAGCAAACTTCTTTCAGGAACCTGAGCCAGGAAGCGTGGTGCGACCAGCTCCCACGCCATCTACCATCGGCTTCGTAGGGGATGAAACCCACATATTTGGGACCTTACAATGGGGGAAAATATTAGGGAAATGGTATTCTTGGATTTTTTTGTCGAAACTATGTGAAACCCACTACAACTCACATATATATCATATATACACCTGCGATGTTTGGAAGAGGCGGATCTGCATCATCATTGCCGATGCAAGCATTGCACCAGAATTTGGCCGCACGCTTAAGATATGTCTCGTCGACCTTCTAAGACGTTTTGGCCCAATTATCCTACCAACTGCAAATCCATTATCTTATACCAAAGAATAAATGGTAGGATAATTGGATAATGGTAGGATAAACATCAATAAATCATACTTTGGTATCCTACACTTACGTCTACATTCGGTGTTTTTTCTCCAAAGATAAACCACCACTTTGGTCATAGCTGCCACCAGGGTGCCATTCGAAAGACTTGCACTGCAATTTCTCTCGTAGCTGGTGGCGACTTTCCATCTGAGGGCCCAGGTCTGCTTTCTTCATGTTTCTATATTTGAAGAACCTTAGCACTTGGACCCATCTGGATCAAAATGATCAAAACCAAATTCTCCAAATGCACTGCGGAATGCGGGTTTCTTTGGTGTACCGTTTCCACTGGGTACAACTTTGCTAAAACTTGCGCTGATCTCAGAATTTGTTTAAGGATGTTTAAGGGAAACTTCCCTCTAAACCCTCTACATTGGAAACAAACCAATCAAAACAATCTTCCAATCCCAATCTGAGATCCCCAAGAAATCCCAAACACAAAACTCTATGGTCTCTTGGGAATGTTTATCATTACAAGTTGGGATCCTGTGGCGTCTGGATTTGCTTGGAATCCTTGGGATGCTTTCCATGGATCTGGAGCTAATGAAACCCTGCAACTTTGGGGCCGTAGCATCCCAGGCCAACACCATCCATGAAACACGTTACATGAATCATGGCATACTGGGTTTAATCCACTTTGGTGCTTGCTTCAGATACAGAATGTGAAGTCCCACATTGGTAAGTCGACTTGTAACTACTGGAATTGGTTCAAATATTGACATATTGTGGAATCTACACTTGGGATGGGTGAACATCAATTTGTCATTGGAGGTTCCGACCTTGTAAATCCTTCTGTGGTATATGGTTGTATGCACCAAAATCATTCTCCCCAAGAATGAATGATCATTTTGAACTAAAAATGACCCACCATTCTTGGGTTCAATGGGCCCAAAAAAGCTGGAACCATAACCATATCACAGACTTTACCTGCTTGTGCATCAAAAGGAGACTCACATATGACACAAACTGCTGCCTTGGGATGGCAAGTCAGAACATGTCCCAATAAAATCCCTGAAAATCTGCGCCATAGCCGAGTAGGCTCAGAATAAACAGTCAGAGATAGTCACACTATGTCACACTCTCATCATATTTAGATAAACTGTACCGGTGTCAGATTCCAGATTTTAACGTGACGTCACATTTGAAAAGACATGGACTGAACCCCTAAAATCATCGCATCCATTGAACGGATGGGTTCAGAGAAAATTTACAGGACACCATTATGTTTCCATCAAAAAATGGTTCCCCCTGAAGGGGGAACAAAAAACATCTAGGATCTACACAACTGGACATCCACATCGCCAATCTTTATATTATATTATATTATACTATATTATATTATACTATATTATATTATATTATATCATATTATATTATATCATATTATATTATATCATATTATATTATGTGATAATATATCCTGCATTCGTTTTCCAAGCTGGTTACTATTTGTGTCCCGTTTCACAGAAAAAAAACATACCGTACTATTGGGTACCCATCAGAGGATTCCCCAGCCCCTGTGCAAACAAGGAACAGTTCTTCGTATTCGTCCTTGGAATTGAACGACGGGTGGGAAAATGCCACTAGATGGCGATGGCCGTTGTTGAGTCAACCTTTCAAGTCAAGAGGGGTCGATCATTCCAGAGGGGAAAAATACAAACATGCTATGAAACCGCCAGCCCAATCATTGATACAATTCATCAATCACACCGCCACCTTTTTGATCGTTTAGACCCATATTTCGTTGTAAACATTTATGAATAAATTATAGTAGATAATTTTCGGTGTTTGCTCAGCTCTTTAGCCAAATTTGTACCCACCCAACCACGTGAGAACAAGTACGTTTGAAGTTTGCCCCATGATTGATGCACCTGCCTTAGGGGACACAGGCCTGGTTCCAAGCCACCCAGCACCATGCGGTGGAGAACATTTACAATATTTCAATGCCCTGACAAATTTGGTCGTTTTGATATGTACAACATTTTTTCCCATGTATATTGATATATATATATATATACACACCTACTAACCATCCAACTATCCCCGCCCAACCCCATTGTTCAAATACTTTTGTTCAGCGAGTACTTTTTGATTCATTGTTGTGTCTCATGTATACAATGTGGGGCCCCCTAGATAGTTAAGTTTGTTTATAACTCTAATAACAGTGGTTTGTGACACTAAAAAAACTAGACGACGGATGGCCCGAGAGCGTAGAGGAGCAGGGTCTTCTCTTGTTAGTATGGAGACACAATTTTACAAACAATATATGAAAGATGTGTTATAGGCAGTCGAGAAGAGAAGTAGCAAGACAAAATAGTGAGAAGTGCAAGACAATAGTTTGCATCGCAAACACTTTTACACACAGACGCTTTTACACACAAAAGTTTTTACACACAGAAGCTTTTACACACAGAAGCTTTTACACAGAGGCTATTACACACAAAGCTGTTACCCACAGAAGCTTTTACATACAGACGCTTTTACACACAGATGTTTTTACACACAGACGCTTTTACACGGACACTTTTACACACAGACATGTTTACACACAGACACTTTTACACACAGACCTTTTTACAGACAGGAGCTGCTTTTACACACAAACGCTTTGACACACAGAAGCTTTTACACATAGACGCTTTTACACACAGGCACTTTTACACACAAACACTTTTACACACAAACACTTTTACACACAGACGCTTTTACACGCAGACGCTTGTACACACAGAAGCTTTTACACACAAACACTTTTACGCAGAAACACTTTGACACACAGACGCTTTTACACACAAACACTTTTACGCAGAAACACTTTTACACACAGACGCTTTTACACACAGACACTTTGACACACAGACGCTTTGACACACAGACGCTTTTACACACAGAGACTTTTACACACAGACGCTTTTTACACACAGGCGCTTTTACACACAGACAAGAACGGCACAAGTAAAATCGCACTTTTACCTCAGTTTTTGCCGATCGACCCTCATTTCGTGCGAAAGGGTTGCTCCAGGACAAGTAAAATCGCACTTTTACCTCAGTTTTTGCCGATCGACCCTCATTTCGTGCGAAAGGGTTGCTTTAGCACACGTAAAATCGCAGTTTTACCTCAGTTTTTGCCGATCGACCCTCATTTCGTGCGAAAGGGTTGCTCCGGACAAGTAAAATCGCACTTTTACCTCAGTTTTTGCCGATCGACCCTCATTTCGTGCAAAAGGGTTGCTCCAGGACAAGTCAAATCGCAGTTTTACCTCAGTTTTTGCCGATCGACCCTCATTTCGTGCGAAAGGGTTGCTCCGGGACAAGTCAAATCGCAATTTTACCTCAGTTTTTGCCGATCGACCCTCATTTCGTGCGAAAGGGTTGCTCCGGGACAAGTCAAATCGCAATTTTACCTCAGTTTTTGCCGATCGACCCTCATTTCGTGCGAAAGGGTTGACGTTTCGTGACTCGCCGCCGGCACCACCCTCGGCCTTAAGAGAGAAAGATAAAAAGAAGGCATGAGAGAGAAGGTGAGCAGGTGTGAAGATGAGCAGATGTGAAGATGAGCAGATGTGAACATGAGCAGATGTGAAGATGAGCAGATGTGAAGATGAACAGATGTGAAGATGAGAAGATGTGAAGATGAGCAGATGTGAAGATGAGCAGATGTGAAGATGAGCAGATGTGAAGATGAGAAGATGTGAAGATAAGAAGATGTGAAGATGAGAAGATGTGAAGATGAGCAGATGTGAAGATGAGCAGATGTGATGGGAAGGTGTGAAGATGAGCAGATGTGAAGATGAGCAGATGTGAAGATGAGCAGATGTGAAGATGAGCAGATGTGAAGATGAACAGATGTGAAGATGGGAAGATGTGAAGATGAGCAGATGTGAAGATGAGCAGATGTGAAGATGAGAAGATGTGAAGATGGAGAAGATGTGAAGATGAGCAGATGTGAAGATGAGCAGATGTGAAGATGAGAAGATGTGAAGATGAGAGGATGTAAAGATGAAAAGATGTGAAGATGAGAGGATGTGAAGATGAGAGGATGTGAAGATGAGAGGATGTGAAGATGAGATGTGAAGATGAGAGGATGTGAAGATGAGATGTGAAGATGAGAAGATGTTTTACAGACCCCCACTATTGGAAGAACCCTGCGCTCAGACGCTCTCGGGAACTACAGGTAACAGGTAGTTGGGTTTCTGAAGCAACTTACAACTGAGGGCCCCACGATGTATATGTATAACTTATAATATCATATGTTGGTTTAACATCCCCAAGTTGGTTTTGCGCAAAAACATGGCGGCCCAAAAAAACACACTGAGGCCATGGCCATCCACACCTGACATCGGAGAATTTTGTGGTGCTAAAAACAGGCCATTTACAGTATCAGGTGATATATGGTGATACAATGCGCATATATATATATATTATACCTATGTATGTATGTATGTATGTATGTATGCATGCATGTATATGTATATATGTATGTATGTATGTATGTATGTATGTATGTATGTATGTATGTATGTATGTATGTATGTATGTATGTATGTATGTATGTATGTATGTATGTATGTATGTATGTATGTATGTATGTATGTATGTATGTATGTATGTATATGTATATGTATATGTATATGTATATGTATATGTATATGTGTATGTATGTATGTATGTATGTATATGTATATGTATATGTATATGTATATGTATATGTATATGTATATGTGTATGTATGTATGTATGTATGTATGTATGTGTGTATATGTATATGTGCATATGTATATGTATATGCATATGCATATGTATATGTATATGCATATGCATATGTATATATGCATATGTAAATATGCATATGTATATAAATATATATGTATGTATATTCAAATGTGTATATGCATATGTATATATGCATATGTATATGTAACTGTATATGCAAATAAATATGTATATGCATATGTATATGCATATGTAAATGTATATGTATATGCATATGCATATGTATATGCATATATGTATATATACATATGTATATTCTGTATATATGCAAATGTATATGCATATGTATATATGCATATGTATATGTAACTGTATATGCAAATAAATATGTATATGCATATGCAAATGCATATGGATATGTATAGGTATATGCATATGTATATGCATATGCACATGCATATGTATATGTATATGAAAATGTATATGTATATGTATACGTATATGTATATGCATATGCATATGCATATGTATATGCATATGCACATGTATATGTAAATGAATATGCATATGCATATGCATATTGTGAATCGGGGTTTGTATCCGATATTTGTTTAGATCTTGTCAATTGGTTGTTCGAGAAATCCTCAACGACAAGTGGACGGCGGCTTCGGCATGTGCTTCCTATTTTCCTGGATTGCTGCAGTTGGGCGTCTTGAGCCAAAATGGGTGTTGTTCAACGGACCCATTTGGCTAGAGTTTTTGAGACATCTGTATAAGGGATAAGTGTTATGTACCGTAGCCGCTAGCCGTTATCCCATTCGCACCCCCCACGCCTGTTAGATTTAATCTTCCAGGCGCCGGAGGACATCTTAAAAACTCATTCGCCTGCAGTTTACATTATCTTGAATTGTGGAGCTATACATTCTCTTCGCGGCTTGCTACTCTCATTACCAACTACGTTCACTGCAAACATGCTCACTGTCCAGGGCGTTGCCTATGTACAGCACTGAGATTCACTTCGTGTGGCGTCGCCAACACTCGGCTTCACTCAGGCACGACACAAATGAAATTAAATAGAACAAACTGACTACGGAGCTAGAGTTTTACCTTCCGGCTCTTTCGTCAAAGAGAAATAGACCGCTGTAGAAATTCAGCTCACAATGCCATGGTGTCTAGATAGCATCGTATCTAAAAAAATATCGTTCTCAAATTAGCCGGCTCAGATTCCTCTCAGAATTCATCCACAATGATGATGAGATCAATCATGAGCATTGATTGCTGCCCTTTCGCCAGCTGTATCAGGACCTATGCAGAGGTCGATTGAACTTATCGCCAGTTTCCTCTTCCGTAGTATCCTGAATAGTTCCAATCGCCGCCACGGTGTGAATAGGTCCTGCCACCTTTCCCGTGGTCTGTTCCACCCCTCCATGGTGGAGACGTTGGAGCTTGTTTTGGCGGAGGTGCAGCTTCTGCTTGATGCGTTGACGTCGATGATGATGCCTTCGCACTTGTAACAGTGCTCGGCTTTGGTGTTGCCTTTGATTTGCCTTTGCAGGTGCGCTGGGTTCACGTCGAACATCTGGAGGCACTTGCGTATCGGCAATGGCAGCCAAATGGGCTTCTGACATGTGGATTCCCCATCTTGGCCGTTGATCATCACGTTGTTTCGACTTGTTGTAATCTTCGATCGCATCGTACATTCGTGAAAGTAAGGGTCGAGGGAGTTGTCGGCCATTTTGAAGAATCAAATGTAAGACCGAAATCCGCCTGAGATGTGGTCGGCAAGCGCACAAAATGTCAACTGGGTTGAGAGTTGCCGTGTTCTGGAAGTCAACGTT